TCCCTTACAGCCCATTATCAAGTGTCTTGTGCCCAAAGGTATGGGCAACTTATAATATTCAATGAATCCCCCATGCTTTTATGTTTTGTTCCCCACTAATACTAAACAAATCATTAGTTTAGTGTTTTACAGACAGCCCACTTAAACTAGCCATTTTTAACCTTTTCAATCCCCAAAATACCCTCCTAAAGCCCCTGGAATCACTCGTAGTTGGCAGGCTTAGCTAGTTTTTTCCATTTCTTGATTTTTTGATGTAATACCGGGACTGCGGATCGGAACCTTGGTGGAACAGCATCTCGACCAGCTCTTCACCTCGGCGTACTCCATCATCTCACTCACTTGTGAACTACACGTGGTCTGATTCCTTTATAGCCAAGGATATGTAGGCAGCTCAGATACCAGGGCTCGGTCACATTCCCCTCTCTCTTAGTTTTAGTCTCTTCCCAAATAAGGGTCGGGTCAAAAAACCTGTCTAGTCATTCTATGTCTGAAAACTCTTTGCGTTTCTAGTCAAAGAGGGGCAGCTGTAGACATGTGATTTTTGACCCTCCCCAAAAATTTTCATATTTTAGTACGTAAATATTTAGTTTAGTCCTAATATAGCTATATCAACTCTTTTTTACTCTTTTACTTTTATTTTATTACAAGAAAACGAAAATTACAAAAAATAATAATAATAGTTTCATTAATATTTTGTAGTTATTTTTAATCCTGAAAAATACCAAAAATAGTGTTGTTTTAATGGTCAGTCTTATTTTAATAGTTATTTTATTTAAGTAGGACTAATTAATAAATGAGATCGTATTTTAATCTCATTCGCGTGGAAAGAATAAAGCTTGGGCTCGAGCAACTCATTTTTAGGGCTAATTTTGGACCTAACCCATAATTTTCAAGCTCATACCCCTAACCTAATCCCTACCCCTATATAATAGGACCTACACCTAAAATATAAGGAGACACCTAAAACCTTACGATCCGCCGTTTTTCTCTGAAAAAAGATCAAAGACACACAAAAATTAAAAAAGACTGTAAATCAGACGTTGACCAAGACCTAGCTAAGACCTAAAAATTGGAGACTCCCCGCTCCCCCCGAAGTTCACGGCAGACCCCAAAAAGAAGAAAAACTCATCTTCTTCTTTGAAAATCCGCAGATCCCAAAAGATAGACCCATATCTCTTTCTCTTGGAGAAAACCAGCAAACTCCACCTTACAAGTTTCACCAGCAACAATAGCCATACCCCCTTTCTTCTTTTCTTCTTCCTCATCATTAATCACTAATTTTTCTTCTATTTAAACCATGTAAAAAGACTCCTTGAAATTCCATGAAAAGCCATAGAAAAGTAGCTCAAAAGCTCCGAAAAGAGAGCTGAAAAATCTGCCCAGAAATAGCCATTAAACCCAGCTGAAATCCACCACTAAACTTCCATTAAACTATCAAAAATCAGCTGCAACAGCTTGAAAAAATGCAGCAACAGTGGCTGCAAGAAACCAGTCAAAAATTGATTGTTTTAACACCTAAAACCTATCCAAAATCCATTCAATGACGAGGTATTCTTGTTCGAGTTTGAGGATTTGTCGAGGTCGACGATATTGTTCCGGTTCCGAGCTGTTATACAAGTTCTTCTTTATCAATATATTGACAAGCATTTGGCAACATTGAAGGTCTGTTTCCTTTTCATCTGGTCACTTGGTTAAATTTACATCAATATATTGTATATTCCCATGATTGAAATCAGACACGGTTCTTATTGCTTTGTTTTAATTATTTTGTCTCATCTTAGTTTCTATTTTTCTTAGTTATGTTATTGACTTTGCACATAATCTGTTTGTTTAAATTGCTCAATGGTGAATTTTGTTTGATTTGCTAAATAATAGTTTAATTTGTATCATGTCTATCCTATGGTGTAGTGTAGATTGGACGTTGCTCCAAAGTTTAGGATAATAAGACTCGGGTTTGATGAAATGAGCCATAGAAAATAGGTTTAGAGTTGGACCGTTGGGTGGTTTTGAAATATAGCATTTGGACTTTGATTTAAAAATTGGAAGATTTGGACCTTAATAATTGTTGGGATTCAGTTGTTAGGCTATAGAGTGTTGGTACATGCTGACCTATTTACTTCTTTAACTAATTTACTCTATTCTCCAAAAATTCGTTCAATAACCATGACTTCACAATAATCTCAAAGTTAGAAATAATTCATAAACTTCGTAGTTTGCTTTAGGCGCGATTAATAAAATTATCGTGATCACGAGTACGGTTCTCGTGGCGTGGTCACGATGCATAGATCCTATTCGGGTGTGCATTTCATGTGACCCGACCATAACTTTGAATAATAATAAAAATAAACATATTGTAAATCGCGGGTGCATTTCATGTGGGGCGGTTTGTAATGTGTACTAAAGTGACAAGTGTACGACATCGTGACTGGTTCCAGAAATAATTCCATAATTATTTTAAAATAATTTAAAACCGGTTAGAAAGTTAGAAATGCACGATAGATTCTAAATATGTAATTAATCAGATAATTAGGCCAATTATTAATAGTTAAAGCGACCGTGCTAGAACCACGGAATCCGGGAATGCCTAACACCTTCTCCCGGGTTAACAGAATTCCTTACCCGAATTTTTGTGTTTTGCGGACTATAAAACAGAGTCAAACTTCCTCGACTCGGGATTTTAAACCGGCGACTTGGGACACCATAAATTATCCCAAGTGGCGACTCTGAATTTGAATATAAATAATCTCGTTTCGGTTTTTGTCACTTTAATTGGAAAAACTACCCTATACCCTCTCGGGTTAGAAAAAGGAGGTGTGACAATAATGATACGTACCCCAATTTTTGTTGTGTTTCAAGATTGAATTTATTTAGCCTGAGACATTTTTTATCATGGTAATCATGGTAAATCAAAGAAGCTGCACTAGTGGCTAGTGAGTTGAAAAGTTTGATAAGCCACCATCTCTTTCCAGTTGCATAATTCTTCAAGGCCTTCAGCATAATATGCAATTTGTGCTTTACCCTCCTGAGTATCATTTCCTAACATTCTGGGTTTGGAAAGATTTACAATATCTTAAAAATACGATGAATTGATTCCGAAATTGATCCAAAAGTCAAACTGTTTGAGCCTTGCACTCTAAATAGTCGTTTAAGATATCTGATTAAATTATCTTATTTTTTCCTTGAATGAGTAACTAATGACTGTATGCTTTCTTAGATAGTAAGGTAGAATTAGAACATTAGTAATTAACGTCTTCTTGATTTTCTAAGGCAACAAATATTTTGAACCAATTTATTTAAACTAATTTGGCAGATTAAATAGAACCGGAGAAAATATATTGTACTACAAGCCTGTGGATTAAAGGCTACAAATTTTGTCACGACCCAACTTTCACTGGAGCCGGGATGGCGCCTGACTCTACTTGCTAGGCAAGCTAACAGTTTCACAATATTAACGAATTCAATAAAACAGTATTTAATAAACTCAACAGCGGAAATATCATGAAATAACTATGAAACAATATTAATACCACTACAACCATCCCAATAATCTGGCATCAACGAGTACATGAGCACTGACATGGGCTGCTTTCCAGACACGCCCCATGACCCCTTGGTCGCGCCCCATGGAGGCCTTGCAAGCCTCACAATGCCTAGCGCCATGGTCGGCCCCGCGGTCTTGGCTGCGCCAAGTGACAAGCGCGCATGCGCCTCTGTCGCCCCACCAATGCCTCTCGCCAGCGCCAGTGGCTCGCCAATTACAACAGCGATGCGCGCACTGACAATGTCGCGCGCGCAGATCCTGATGTCTCGCCAGCACCCAGCTGCAGGCCCATTCTAGCAGCGCCTCGCGCACAGACCCTGATGCCAAGCACCAGCGCCCAGCCTCAGGCAAAAACAACAAGTGTCGCGCGCGCCAACAGCACCACATGCGCAGACCCTGACCCGCAAGACAAAGTTATTGCCATCGGACTTGTTTCTATATTGTAATAAACTAAGTCCTTTTCATTGTAATTATAGGCTAGTTTACATTGTTTTCATTCAGTGTGCTTCTACATCTTTATTAGGATAAGTCATGTAACTTTGGTTTATATTATTGGGGGGATCAAGCAATCAAACATTTTCAAGCAATCAATTTTCTGTACTGATGTCTCTCCCCCTCGACGCTGCATCTTTTGTAATCAGCTTTCATTCATCAATAAAATCATCATCATTCAAAACTCAATTCTCTCTCAGCTTCCGCAATTGCTCGTGACATTGGTTTTCCCCCACGGCACTGACAATCTAGTCTAGCATGCGGAGGGGGACCTCATTGGCGGACAACAACCGCACTGACATCGGTTGCTTAGCCTTACGTTGCCCTTCCAAAGAACATCAGGAAGGCGTCGTGTAACAGTTGGTATCAAAGCCTAGGCTCGACATCGAACGAGGGAACACATTTGCCATTATCACCATTTCTGACCATGGGGAATCATGGGGAGCGCCTAGCATCCCTAGAAGAGACGGTTGACCGATTACGACCCATCGTGGATACGGTGCCTGATCAAAACAACAACCTAGTGCAAAGGTTGGACGACCTGGACCGCAGAATGCGGCAGGCGGAAAATGACATGGCAAACATCAGTCGTGACTCTGAGGATGACCGGCAAACGGTAGCCATTGACACTGCCAATATTCATGGAAAATTTGAGAACCTCCAACAGGAGCGTGCCGACGATTTAGCCCATCGGGAATAAGAGGCAGACAGACTAACTGCCATGCAGCAAACCATAGACAACTTGACAGGCCAGCTCAACATTGTCAATGCTGCCCTATAGAGCCTACTTCGAGGAGGCGACAACCACATTAGGGGTGCAGCAAACCTCACCCCCATTCCACAAAAACTTAAGATATCGGAGCCAAAGCCATACAACGGATCCCGGGATGCTAAAGAAGTGGAAAACTTCATCTTTGACATCGAACAATACTTCAATGCCATGGGCCATTTGGAAGAATCCAAAAAGGTAGCAACTACGGCCATGTATCTTCAGGGCGATGCCAAACTTTGGTGGTGAGTCAAATACGAAGCCATCAGGGCCGGTGAAAATACTCTCCAGACATGGGATGAGCTGAAGGCAGCCATACACCTGTAGTTCTTCCCCGAAAATGTATAATACAATGCAAGGAGAAAGTTATGGGAGCTCCGCCACACAAGATCAGTGAGGGAGTACGTGTGCGAATTCTCTGTACTCATGCTAAACATATGCTACATGGGGGACAAAGACAAACTCTTCGCATTCATAGAAGGTTTGAAACCTCATGCCCGTATGGAACTACAAAGACAACGAGTAGACACTCTGCCCAGGGCCATTCAAGCTGTAGAATACCTTGGCGATTATCACTTGGGAACTCAAAACGACAGGCCCCAACCGCTTATCCGAGGGGGATTCAACGGGAACCATCCTAGCAATGGTGGCCCAAGCAAAAGTGGGGGAGATCGGAGTGCATCCAAAACTAAGACTCCTCCCTCCAGCAGCAATAGTGTTGCATCCATCAACAACAATCAGGGGAGAAAGCCTCCCTCAGAATGTCGTCATTGCGACGGGGCACATTGGAACAATGAATTCCCAAACATAAAGATCAATGCTCATCAAACTGTTGAGGATGAATCAGATGAATCAGACACATCAGAAGAAGACCAGGTAGGCGCCTTCAATGCAATTGTTGGCTCTATCCCACATGCCTTAGCGGGGACCAGTGCATGTCCTCCTAAGAAAATCTCAGTCCCAATCACCAAGAAAGGGAAGGAAAAGATGGACAAGAGGCCTCCTAAACAAGTGAGGACACTAATGTTCATCGAATTGAAAGTGAACGGCAAGCCCCTTCACGTATTGATAGACACGGGTGCTACCCACAACTACTTGTCTTCAACTCAGGTAGAGCGCCTGGGTCTAGTTGTGCAAAAGAGAAAAGGTCGCGTCAAGGCTATCAACTCGCTACCCCAGACATTGGGTGGAACAGCTACAAATGTCCCAGTAAAACTTGGCCCATACAAAGGAAGCGTCGACCTGCGCATCGCAATCATAGATGACTTCAACATCATAGTGGGTTTGGAGTTTATAAGGCAAACCAACACCATACCGGTACCATATGCCAACATGCTCCTGATGTTGGGAGAAAACGGGGCCAAGCCCTACACCATACCATGCATTCCCATAAAGATTGCCGCTGGAAACATCTCGGCCATGCAGTTAGAGAAGGTAGTCAACAGACATGAACCCCTGGTTCCGGCTACCCTTCGCAACAACAATTAGCCATCATGTCATCGACCTCAAAAAATTGGTGACGCTCCTCAGCGTGTGAAGATTTGTCAGCCATGCCACAAGGACAAGTCGGATCACTCATCACAGACGGGACCCTTGTAGCCATTACATGTCCCACAGAGACCATGGGAAAGGGTTTCCCTCAAATTCATCACGGGATTGCCCCAAGTCGGTAATCGTGCATCCATCTTGGTTGTCATAGATCAGTTTTCAAACTATGCAACTTTCATAGCATCCCCACAAAACATCTCAGCAAAAGATACAGCTCGACTCTTCTTCTCGCACATTGTCAAACATTGGGGCATGCCCAAAGACATTGTTAGTAGGCGCGACTCACGCTTCACTAGCAACTTTTGGACCCAT